TGCACCCCATGGGCATCGACGGCCCCATCGACTCCTTCGCCCCGTTCCACAACGTCAACTGCCCCCGCGGCTTCCTGTACTTCAACAGACAGGTAGCTGCCGGGTGGGGGGGCTGGAAATAAGACGCTGGTGACGAGATGGAGCTGCGGGGGGTTGGGGGGTGGGCAAGGCTAAGGTGAGACCTGGGCTTACTGCTGGGAAGGTTGAGGGCACCTGCCTGGGCGACCGGAGTTCAGACACTGTCACTGCTCTGTCAGCCGAGACCCCAGCTCTGCCCGTAGACGCTCACCTTCTCTGAGCCTCACTTTCCTCATCTGTCAGTCACCCGAAAACCCAAGGGATGATGGTGCTGATGCACCCAGGACTGGGTGAGGGGGGCGGGGCCTGGCAGGGGCCCCTCGCCTATCTGTGCAGCCTGGCATGGCCAGGGTGGGCCACCCTTTGCCTCTGGCCTCCAGTGCTCTCGGGTCCTGGCCCTCCCTTGCCCTGGCTGACCCCAACTGCCTGCTCACCGTGCTGCACAGAGCAGGGTCTGATCCCAGAGAACCCTGTGGGCCTGGGGTCACCTGTGTCGCTTTTAGTTGGGTGCCTGGCCTCACTGACCCCCTCAACCCCCAGGGCGAGCTGAGGATCAGCGTCCTGCCTGCCTACTTGTCTTACGATGCTCCGTGGCCCGTCAGGAAGATCCCGCTGCGCTGCACAGCCCACTATGTGGCCTACCACGTGGAGTCCAAGGTCTGAGCCCCCCTGAAGGCCAGGGACCTTCTGGGCCTGGTCTCTGGTCTCTGGTCTGTGACACCTCCACTCCCCCAGGTCTACGCTGTGGCCACCAGCACCAACACTGCGTGCACCCGGATTCCACGCATGACGGGCGAGGAGAAGGAGTTTGAGACCATCGAGAGAGGTAGGAGACGTTCAGGCTGGGCCTGCTCTGGGAACTGTCTCGCCCTGACTGGAGCTCTGTCTCTGCAGATGACCGCTACATCCACCCCCAGCAGGAGGCCTTCTCCATCCAGCTCATCTCCCCAGTCAGCTGGGAAGCCATCCCCAATGCCAGGTGAGGCTTGGTCAGGTGGGGCAGGAGCGAGGCAGGTAGCAGGGCTGCACCTTGACCCTGCCTCCTGCAGGATCGAGCTGGAGGAGTGGGAGCACGTGACCTGCATGAAGACGGTGTCGCTGCGAAGCGAGGAGACCGTGTCCGGCCTCAAAGGCTATGTGGCGGCAGGGACCTGCCTCATGCAGGGGGAGGAGGTCACCTGCCGCGGGCGGATCCTGATCATGGACGTGATCGAGGTGGTGCCCGAGCCTGGCCAGCCCCTGACCAAGAACAAGTTCAAGGTCCTGTACGAAAAGGAGCAGAAGGGGCCCGTGACCGCCCTTTGCCACTGCAACGGCCACCTGGTGTCGGCCATCGGCCAGAAGGTGGGTCCCTGCCCCTGCAGCCCGTGCCGACCCCTGGCCCCGCCTGCCTGTGAGCCACCGGCTGCCACCTCTCCCACCACAGATCTTCCTGTGGAGCCTGCGTGCCAGCGAGCTGACGGGCATGGCCTTCATCGACACCCAGCTGTACATCCACCAGATGATCAGCATCAAGAACTTCATCTTGGCCGCCGACGTCATGAAGAGCATCTCACTGCTGCGCTACCAGGAGGACAGCAAGACGCTCAGCCTCGTCTCCCGGGTACCCTGGGTGGTGGGGACGGCCCTGTGCCAGGTGATCCCTGTCCCCAGGGGGACCTGATGTGACACCCACCCCTCGGTCTCCAGGACGCCAAGCCCCTGGAAGTGTACAGCGTGGACTTCATGGTGGACAGCACCCAACTGGGCTTCCTGGGTGAGTGCATGACTGGGGCCCGGGGCTGCCTGAGACTGTGGTGACCAGGCTGACGTGGAACTCTTTCCAGTGTCGGACCGTGACCGCAACCTCATGGTGTACATGTACCTTCCGGAGGGTGAGTACTCCCCGACCCTGGGCGGGGGCTGGGCGGAGGCTGGGCGGGCTATGACCTGAGGCCTCTCTGGTCCAGCCAAGGAGAGCTTTGGTGGCATGCGCCTGCTGCGTCGGGCGGACTTCCACGTGGGTGCCCACGTGAACACCTTCTGGAGGACCCCGTGCCGAGGTGCTGCCGAGGGGCCCAGCAAGAAGTCGGTCGTGTGGGAGAACAAGCACATAACGTGGTTCGGTGAGGGCCTTGTGGGTGGGACGAGGGGCAGTGGCACTGGTGGGCAGGTGGTGCTGGGATCGCCGGGCTCACACTGTCCCCCGCAGCCACCCTCGACGGCGGCATCGGGCTCCTGCTGCCCATGCAGGAGAAGACCTACCGGCGGCTACTGATGCTGCAGAATGCGCTGACCACCATGCTGCCCCACCACGCTGGCCTCAGCCCCCG